TTGCTGCGAACAAATCGATAACAAAAGACCTCAAAATGTTTTTTTTTTCAGGACATGAGTCCATCGCTATGATGGATAAGACAAAATGGCCAGTTCCTAAAAAGATAATAACAATAACAACAAAAATTTATCGACCTCAGAATCAACCAAGACAATCACAAGAAATTAATGAAAGAAATAAATGTGGTAACCATATTAAGTAATGTTCCACATAAGAACGATAGCAAACTTCATTGTTCCGTGGCATTGGCTCTTTCCCACATAGAATATCTTTGATTTCAAGAATAGGGAAGGAGCTCGTTACAAAAATAAAATTCATTTGCATCAAATAGATTTTAGGCAATGTTCGTGCTTAACCAATCAGAAGACAATAGATATTAATTTTGCTTCTTTGATGAAGTTCCCCAAATACAAAATCCTTTAAAATTGTATGTTGTGCGATTGGGTCTCAAATATACTTGAAACCTTAAAAAAAATTAGACAAAATGCAACTTGAACCTTAACTTTTTAGCGGTTTTTGAGTCTAGGCCAATGAGATCACTACTTGTTAAAATGAAAAAAGTTGGCATTCCATCGTGCATTGCCTTTCAGCGCTATCCTTGCTATGCGGATCATTACTTAAACCCAAAGTTCTAACATTTTTTCAAATAAAGGATTCTAATCCTTTACTAATCACTTAGAGTAAAGGGTCTATTTTTATAGCTGCTATACTGATACTAGTGGTGTGGCAGGCGTAAACCAGCACCGATTTCCTCTTTCATGATCCATTTAGCTGTAATCGTCTGTTTTTTTATTTCAATATTGTATTAAACAGGCCTGAACGTAAGTTTAAAGCTTTGATCAAATAGGTGCCATAAAATACATGCAAATCGTCACCTTGTTCTTTCTTGCGATCTGCCACGCCTCCTTGGTGATCGTGACAGGTGTTGAGAACTGAAAGAGATGTGCCAACAAAAATGTAGATGAGAAATCAATTGTTCACTATTGCTTTGAGGAACTTCATATGTTTAAATCAAACTAGTAAACTGATCGGTGTAACAAGTTAAAATCATAGTATAGAAGCAAAGATAGATACAACATAGGAAGAAATGTAAAGTTATACTATATTACGGCTTGCCAAACCAGCCTTCTTCAGGTGCGATGTTTTTTTTTTTTT